TCGGGGGGGGGGGGGGGGAGGCAGCGCGGGCAAGTGGACGGGCGCTTTCGCGTGCGCGATGACGAGCGGAGCCGTCGCGCGCGCGCGCTTATCAGATTTGTTTGATGGCTCGTTAGCGGCGGCGATTAATTAGTCCGCGCGATCCGCGCCGCTGCGTTCGGCAGATATGCATTCGGCCCGATTTATCGCGCCCAATTCGGGGACGCGCCGGCATTGTCGACCTGTGGTTCCTTTGCCTTTGCCATTATCCGTGCCAGTGAGATATAATCTCACCGAGTGCCCGCTTCCAGTCTCTTTGATGGTCTCGCTATGATATGTTGCATGGAATGTTGCATAATTCCTGTGGAATCCTGTGGGTGCGTCACACGGATGCCACAAATAACGTGCTATGTCCTTTTCTTCTTTTTGCGTGGTGGTAAGTATCTGTCTTTTATTGGCACGCAAATCTTCATATGACTCGCGAGATACCCACGGGTGGATGCGTATTTTAAGCGCGCGGCTTTTCTATTAAACAGTTACGATTTCATTAACGTGAAATGATTTTAATTAACAATAGGGGATAAGAGAATATGCACGGACGTGTAGTGCAAACATAATATACACACGGAAAAATATCATCTTATTGCTGAGAAAAACGGTAACTCACTTTACTCTCCTTCTTTCAAATAACGGTTATCTTCAACAAAGAATATTTTCTTGATAATATTCTTGAAATGTATTCATTGTGAATTTGAGAGAAGCTCATCATTCTCACATTAAAAAAAGATTCATTCTCTTTACAACAATATGATAAAACTCTATCGAGGAAAAAATTGATTCCACTCTAGTAAATAATAAAAATAGTAAGATTCTAGTAAGTAACAAATAATAGTTAGTAAGAGCAAAACTCAAATTTATATTTTAATGTAATATTTTTAATTGAAATTCTAAATCCTAGAGAGGATTCAGAATGTATTTTGAATAAGTTTGATGCTCATGATGAACTTATGATAGACTTGCGGAAACTTGAAACAAGTATTTACAAATACTTGACACAAGCAACATTTGCTTGAATGCAGTATGCATTTCTCTGTGCGCATGTAATGCACATCAATATTCTTGGTGTAATCAGAGAGTAAGATGCAGAATCAGCCTAACTTCGAGTCTCTGCTAAATCGATCGCACGCCTTTTACTTCGGCGGTCTTGAGCGACCGCAAGGGCGGAAGTCGCGATAACGATAAACGAGCGTGTTCCGGAGCCGTCAAAGGGCGGATGATCGTCGTAAATCACGCGACCTCGCAAGGGATCTCGCAAGAGATGGCGTTCGATGGAGCGCGTCATAATCTCCGGATGCTAATTACCATTTTCCGCGTCCCGTCGCTGGTCCTGGTGGCAATCGTCACTTCCATTACGCGGATCTCTTGGAGGCCATCCTAGTACTTCGTAGGAATTAACAGGCACCGATATTAACTCACTCACTCACTTACTTTACTCATTCACTCACTTACTCACTCACTCATTCACTTACTCACTCACTCACTTCTCGCTCTGTACTAGATGCGATTATGTGCGCCAAATGCCGGACGCACGCGCGCTCGATTCAAGACAACTTCGATAACAAGCCGCTGTCTCTTCACTAACGTACACGACCGATTGATTTATCGCGCACCCGACAACCAGATTTATACGTTTTGCACGTCGGCCAAGCCGTCCGCCCTCGTTTCCTTCCTCGTGCGGTGATCGTTACCACGAGGACACGGCAGCGCGCAGAGGTCCGAGCCGCGTTTCGCGCGACACGCGCGCACTGCCGGACGCTAACTAACAACGTCGATATCGCGAGCGTCGCATTTTTACCGTGGACTCACGTAACGACGCGCGACATGCATGTTCGTGCAATACGGACGATGTGCCGCTCTGCTCGCCGCTGTCCCCGTTGAGCAGTCGCCGCGTGATAAGAACACTCACGCTTTTTATAATCTACCCGAACGACAAGAGATATCGACGATAATTGCGCACGCGGCGTAAACGTCGCGATTCACTCGCGAAGCCGAGAACTGCGGATGAACTGCGACTTTCGCGGCCGGACGTTTCTCCTTTTCTCTCTTCTGCTAGAGACTGTGTGAGAACGACGCGGCCAGCCGGCTGCGGGAAAGCGCGAAACTGCGTGCGACTTCCGTCGCGCGGTCGCGCGGCTGTAGGCGAGCAGAGGAAGGAGAGCAAAAAGAAGAAGAACAAGTAACGTTATCCGTTCCTTCCTCCTCCGCCGCGCGGAACGTTACTCTCGGTGCGCGCGGACCGTCGTGGCCGCGCCGCCAGTCATCGCTATTATAATATCGGGCCGCTCACGACCGCCGGCTATTTCCGACTCCCTGTGAAAATAAACGCGGCACGCGTCCACGGGGATCGCGTGGTGCGGCGGGCCGCCGCGACGACGAAATTAACCCGCCAGGAACGTAACGCGATTTCGCGTTGATCGATGGATCGTTCATCGCGCGTGTCGTCCGTTGACCGCAAGAGAGAGAGAGAGCGTATACTAATTTTACGCCGAACATGCCCGCGTGTGATTAAAGCCTCCGTCGAATTTACGCTGAGGAGGCAGGCCCTAACTTTGCTCGATGATCCGAACCGCTGAAATATCCCGTGACGTGCGTGCATAAGATCGACAGAGAAAGAGGGAGAGAGACAGAGAGACAGAGAGAGAGAGAGAGAGAGAGAGAGAGAGAGAGAGAGAGAGAGAGAGAGAGAGAG